GAAACATGTTGTCCCAGCAACCGGCCTCTTCCTTCTAAAGCTGCGGCTCCAGCAAGAGTTCCCCCCCTCTGTCTCTCCACATCGTGGTGACGTCATCCAGGACGCTGGGACGTCGGGTAAACGTGGTCCCTGCACTGACAGGCATTCTACTCCACTGCTTCCCTCTGAGCGGACGGGCCGTCCATCTTGGAACCTGGCTTCCTAAAGCCACAGGCTGGTTATTTATTATTGTTTTACCATATGACTTATTAAAGACACACCTCCATACAAGGTGTATTATTTCTATCACAAAACTACACAGTGCCTGGCTCCTGTTCATACCTCCCACAAACCGATGTGTTTTTACCATGGCAGCAGTGAGTTTTTTCCCCACCAATCATAGTTGACATATACCATTCACTTATTTCCTTTGGGACACATCTGTGCGCTTTTATCCAGACCGTTCTTCCAATTCTATATTATGTCACCTCTTCATTATAAATATAAAAAAAAATCCTTAGACCTCTAATGGGTCAACTTGATATGTCAATAACAGATTGGTGGCAGCTATTCGTGGTGGTTGTTTGAAAATCAGCCAAATCTGCTTGCAATCTACACAGATGACTTCACTTGTGATAACTTAATATTGTTTGACAAGGATAATACCATATATGTCATATCCCTCCTCTGTTCTTTAATATTTCTGTTTTTTTTTTTAATAACTGTAACAAAGAAGTGACCTAACATCTAATGTTGCACATTTCCAGGGATGATTGTTATCCTCTTTGCATTTCTGCTAGTAAAAAACAACTGAATGATGCAACTCATCCCAGTTTATTTTCAGAAGTAAAATTTCTGTAATAAGAAGATTCTTTGGTAGTGAAGAGTGATAAATTACAATAGCCGTAAAATGAAAGCACATTGATTCATATACTGATCTCTTTTGCTTATACTGTTTTGCCCTTGGATTTTAATATGAGTAAATAGCTTCCTGACCTCGGTGTGTTGTCTCAAAATATAACTGCCACATATTCAGAATTTTCATTAATAAGATAAATTTTGTTGTTTAAAATATAACCTTTTTAACCAGTTTGGGCAAAGATACAGAGGAAGTCAAGTTTATAGATTAGCCACTATGTAAATATTGTACAAATGTTAAACACTAAGTGGGCATAAACTGTGAAAGCTGTGCCCAGAAAAGGCAAGCAGGGGGCAAATAGCTCTTCACCAGTATTGTGTGTAGGCTCCCTGCAGCTGATCTTTTTTCCATTACTGACCTACGCCTTGTTCTACGCCATGTCTGTGGGTAGATGGAATCTTGGTAGAGGCAAAACTGCTTCCTTTGGTCAGAATTGCCCCCCTTATGACTGGTGAGGTAATATTCTTGAATCAGCAGAACAGATGCTGAAAGCACGCTTACACAAGATGAATAAAGTAGGGAGATCCTGGAACTGCCGGTACACAAGTAAAGCTTGCTCTACAACAAAAGAGAACAAGACACAGGTATGTCTAGATACAGCAAGTGCCCTTCTAGTTTTATGGGGAATTGAAGAAGTAAGGTAAATGTTTCAAGTTACTGCATTGGCACAATTAATGTTTCTATATGTTCCATATAGAATAGCAAATCTTTGCTTTTGGCACTCAGGTCCACTTTAAACCTTATCTTTTTAAACACTTTCATCTGTAGCACAAAGATCTTTGGTTAAAGCTGTCCGCTGTAAATATATTGCAGATATGAAGAAAAGTGCTGTAACAGTAAACTTCATTTCAGATGCGCAGTGATCCTCATGTGAGGCATTGTACTTTGCATTAAAATTTGCTGAAAAATGTCTTGTAATAAGTTTCTTCTCTGCGGTATATGTGCCAACCTTTACATAGCCAATGAGCTAAACTTGTTTTTTTTTACCAAGCGTATAGGTGGTCACCTAGATGTCTACTGTCATGCAAAAATATTTAATGCCTTTAATGATCTATTTCATAACTGGTCACTGGTTTGTGGAAAGCTTAACAGCATAACGCAGCTCTGCTGCCGTGAGGAACACCATGATTACTGCTAATGGTTATAATAGCTGCTAGCAATAATCTCATAGAAAATCCAACATGCTGGTTGTACCCAAGGCATACAACAATCAACTTAGGTACAATCAGCCTGCCCATACATGGTTTGAATCTCGACTGGTCCCTGCTGATCCGGCCAAGATTTGATCCATTAATGATTGGCTTTAAAGGTGATTTTAACATGCTCGCCTGCTTCGCTTTCCAGAAGTCTTGGTGGTTTTTGATTTTTCAGAGTTGTACAAAAGCCTAGGTGGGCACAGAAAAACAAAAAAAATGATTAGCTAAGTGTATGCATGTAGAGATAATCAAAGGATATTTGTACAAATGTTGAAATATGTCATGAATATTCGTAACAAGGCACAGAAAAAAAAAAAAGGTTTTGATGTAACTGGAAAAAACAGCAGGTACTGTCGATATCTTCTAATGTAATCCTTTCAGCAAATGCAATTTATATCTTCAACCTTCACTAACAGTAAGGCAGTATCTAATAATGTGGACCGCAAGGATTTGAGGATGACTCAATTGCTATGTTTGACATGGAAAGGCCTGACTCTAGAAAGGAGGGGTAAAATGTCACCTTTCTTCAATTGTGTACTTATGTAGAGGTTATCTCTTCATAGCAGCAATTTCCTGTGTTTGATAAGCTGGCAAAGGACTTTTTTTTTTATTGTTGTAGAGGACTTCGCAAGGGATGTTGTCTATATGCATTTGCTTGATAAGAATTGGAGAACATTCAACTCTGAAGAGATTACATAAAATAAAATTAAGGAGCAAATTATATTTTTAAAGGGTTGTCATCTTAACATGTTAAGAAAGGAACTTTGGTCTTTGGACAGCAGTGCTCACTTAGCTAAAATGTTGCATTGCAAAATTTGCTTTCATAAATAGTGAGGAAGTCATGACATTCTGATATCTCCACAAGCAGGACATTTTTCCGCAGCCAAAAAAGCAGATGATTACACTCTGATGAAATGGAGAATGGGAGACTTCGGAAGCATACCGGAGGAAGTGAGGTCAGGGAGGACCCTAGCATTCTGATAATACTTCTTTCTTTGTAAATAAAAAAGCAGGTGACAAAGGAATTTTTCGTTACAAGTAAAAATCCTCTCTTGCAGTGCTTAAATATCTCATAAGTTGAATGCTTGTTTAGGTCTGGGAGACCTGGCAAAGTAGTTTTACTTACATGATCCCCCCACCCGATAGGCTTCCAGCACACATGCGCCGACGGACTTTACTTTGGCATCCTCATGTCCAGTGCAGGGCAATGGGTTCTGCATTATACATGATTGAATCAGAGGTCCTGCAACCGCTAAAGTGTAGAAAAAGAAGCCGTTAAAGGGACAGGTCTTGCAGCATGGAGTAAGTCTGCAGTAAAAACTGCTTTTCCCTGGTTCCCTAGGCCTAAATAAGTGTTTAACCCTTGTAGTGCGCACAATCTGTTTGCTTTCCATGGAGTTCAACTTTAACTCTCTTAGCTAAAAAGTGAGATTGGTATATGTGAACTACATGAATAATAGGACAGAATTATAAATTAATTTCCAGGTATAATAGCAAAACATTATTTCAGAAGCATATTTTAGTTTGAATTGCTGTCAGATTCAGTTTTACATTTTTAACTCCCTTTTTTCTTGCTTCAGATATTGGACCTTGTTAAAGGTATGCATTACCAGCTGGCATGCCAGAAATATTTTGAGCTGACACACAATGTAAGTCTGTGTTTTTTATTTTTACATTTTTTTTTTCTGGAGGGGGATTGGGCACGGGTTATTGTTGACTGGGAGTTATGAATTTAATAGCTTTCATTTATGGTTCCACACCATGGTACATTTGGGTGATTTATTAAGTGCTCACACAATTTTAAAACTTTCTGGCAAACATGCATCCTTGATGAAAACAATCTGTTGTATAGAAAGCTCTATAGCTCAAGCTTAAATTTACACACGGCTGAATGAGCTGTGACAAGTCCTCCCTCCCTGCTTGCTCTGAACAGCTCTGTACTTTCAATTAGAGATGGTTTGAAAAGTTTAAAAAATATAAGCCATGCTCCACAATTTTCTCTTCCTACTGTGTTTTAATAATTGTGAAAAAAGACTGTATACAATAATGTTTCTGCCTGAAATCAAGCTTCCTTGACACATTTCACCATTGTTAGCTTGCTCACAAGGATAGGGGAATTCCATCCCCTATCCTTGTGATGAAGTCTGCAATGGTGAAATGCATCATGGAAAGTTGGTTTTGGGTGGAGACATCAAGTTATGCAGTCTTTTTATTTTGTACAATCATTAAACGCAGTAAGAAGAGTAAAGTTTTGTAGTGATTCCATTTTTTTTTTTTTTAACTGAGAGTGGAGACAGGCTATGGTAGCCAGCACCCAGATGGGATGAGAAGAGCAAGTCTGGAGTGGAGCCATGGGTTTAAATGGTTTGAAAGGACACAGCTACTTGTGCACTTCTATTTAGAAAACCCAGAATGTTCTATGATGCCATTGATATGGGTGACTCTGTATGAAATATTTATTTGCAAAATAAAGTAAATAGTATTTAAGGAATTAAAAGGTATATCACATCACTCTAGACTTACAAACATGAAAATAAAAGTTGACAACTTTTTCTTTGTCCGTAATTTTTCCATACCTTGGCCCTGTAGCAGGAAATGGTGCCTGTGTGAAGACATTGCCTGCTTCACTGACTTTCACACAACAACATTTCTGTTGTTTTGTAATTGCAATTCCATTAAATTGAATTGAGCTCAGTGACTCAGAAACCTCTGAAACCATTAGATCAGCATGACATCCCAGGAACTAGAATCACCAGAAAGGATAGTCTGCAGTGGGCTGCATTCTTCTTTAGTATAGGTTTCCTTTAAAAGGAAATTAAATCGCAAGTGCAACTAACATAACATCAAGTAACATTGTTGTAGGGATTTGTATAATTTGTATTTTTTTTTAACTGTTACACATATCAGGGCAGCTACATTGGCTTGTTACATATGCAGGCTCTGCTCCCTTCTTTGTAGGGCTATACAAGGGTTGTCCTTTCAAGTTTAAATTGTCTGAATTGAGGAGAACAATGCACTCCCTGTGTGGTAGAGATAACAGTTGAGGTTTATATAAAAAATAAACATCCATACTCCCCTTCTATGCTGCAAATCAGTGTTCTGCTGCAGCTGTCCCACATCTGCTCCAAGACCAAGAACTGAGTGATCACATTGACTGCTGATAACTCAACTCTTGGTCTGCTGGGAGCAAGAAACAGTAACTTTCAGTCACCGCTCTCTCCTCTGCTCCTCCAGTGCTCACTGGAGTGTGGGGCTGCAGAGGGGGTGGGTACAGCTGGTCCTGGCTCTCAACTGTGCTCTGAGAGGCAGAGTCAACTGTCAATCAAGCAGCTGGGATGCATCCTGACAATATTGTAGGGATCCTTCCAAAACATGGAGCTGCTCTGCTCTGCCAGCTGATAACATCCTGTCCTCTATTGTCTGCTATCAGCTAACAAGATTTTGGCAGGATTAACATGTATTTTTTGCACTTATCAAAAGTATAACAAAATTATTTCAACAGTATACTTAACAGAGCAAAAGGGACCATATAATAGAATCTAATTTTTAAGATTTATATACTTGCCCCTTAAAGTGGTGTTAAACCCAAAAACATAATATATTGCAGCCTACCAATCACTAGATGTGGTGGCTGCATCAGCTTTCTTTTTTAGGCTTTTTCCCCTGGTAATCTGGCTAGTAGCACACCTATATTAAAGTGCCCCCACTCTGGATGAAGGCGCGCAGGGGGCAAATTTGGACAACTGCATTGTCAGTGTGGGGAGTGTTAGCTGTAGTAACAGATTTAAAATACACTAACAAACTGAAGCCAGACTCCAGCTAACACTTTATAAGCAGTTACAGAAAACCGTTTTTTCCTTTTTGTGATAAAGGTTTACATAAATAAAAGCTGATCATTGTAAGCATCCCTGCCAGTGTTAAATGGTTTGTCTCATCTCTGTAACTGCAAGAGAGCGTTTTCTTTTGAAATACAACAGACTTACTAGCCAGATCACCAGATAAAAACAAAAGAAAATGAAGCCAGCTATCACATCTAAGAATTGGTAAGCTGCAATGCAATAAATGCTTGCTTTTGACTTCTTTAGTCTATAGAACTGGTCTGCTACAAGTATCTCTTATCAAATAACATAAATGAAAAAGAAAAACAATTACCATGAATTTTAAATCAGTGCCCTCTAAATGTGAAACCACATCATCCAGTTCTTGACACCGGTAACCACAAAGCATTGTGGATTGTAATTTTTGTAACATGAACGGTTTCACTATCATGTGTGTTCTCCAAACCACTTACCTAAACCCAAAAGAAAGTCCTAAATGTTGCATTAGAGCATTAATTGCTGTAAAACCACACTTGATCAGCCTGAAATGTGAGCTGACGTTTAAAAAGGTCACAGTGCATAAAATGTAAAGGAACTCAAGCAAAGGAGAGATACCATCTGTAACAAGCATAATAATCACTGGGGCATTTATCTGATAATGACAATGTAAGAGGCGCTAAGCTGTTATTAATGTATTTTATTGGTTCCTTAATTTTTATCTCTGCTCACAAAAATAAATCATCTATACATATTAAAATGGTTACACATATGCACATGAATATATGATGCCTTTCCAAGAAGGTATTCGCACACTGCGATCGTGTAAAGAAAGTGATACTGCTGTTACAACTATTTTGGGGATATAGTACTCATTACCAAAGGTTTGCAGGTCTTGCAAAGGTTAGGACCAGCTACTTTCTCTCACCAACCCCCCCCCCCCCCCCCCAAAAAAAAAGTAAATACAAAATTTTAAAACCCGTACAAAATATTAAGTCAACAAAACATGAAACTGCTAAATTTATCTTAATACGCAAAAATAGGTGACATAAGATGCTACCAGCACCAATATTAAAGGCAAAATCAGTGTCACGGACAGACTGTATCTGTGGCTGGCAGTGGCAGGGTGACAGTTGCAGTGAGTGGAGGGTGATGGATCCACACTCTAACATATCCCGGGCTGGAATTCCCCAGGAAATGGGTGGAGATTAAAGCAGGCAGCCCAGCCCACACACAGAGACAACACCTGAACTGAGTGATCCCACAAAGTGACAAATCCAACACACCACCACCAACACTGACACAGATCAGCAGGTACTAGAAGAGCAGGCTGTGGGAACGTGATGATGTCATCACTCACTGACACATTGCACATGTGATAGATGGCCGGCCAGGTCACACTCACACACACATGAGACATCAGAGTCGTATATTACCTTCCTTCATAGGCACACCTCCACTGATGAATGGGAAGAGAAGGGCTGGAATTCCACAGTGATCAGCAGCCACCAGCTGATAGGAACACTGGAAGCTGGAAGCAGCGCAGCTCAGTTGCTACACTGGCCTCAGACATCAAGTATCTTCCTCTGTCCTTTCTTCCTCCCCTCAGTTGAAGGATCATTCATGACATGGCAGCATCCTATACAGAGAGGCAGCTGCCTAGTATGTCTAGTGGAAGCTCAGGCCCTGGTTAGGACAATGCTAACTTCACTCATCCATTAAGGCTCTTTTAAATGTGTCCATAATAAGTACATACAGTCAATAAAAAGACCTGGCCAGCTGAAACTCAGGTTGGTTAAGGAGAGATTAATATACCTCAATAATTGTAAAGACTGTGCATATGGGCATTACTTACTCTAAGAGGCTATAGCTGCTATAGAAGAGGCTGTACACCCCATGCACAGTGTTGTGCAGTTTTTTCAATCCCAAATGCAGCAGCCACATGACAAATTTCCATTCAGACTGTAAAGACGGGAGGTAATTTTATTTTTATGAAGGTAATACTCATACCAATGGTTGGGCTCAAGAAAAGAATTATTACTGAAATGTCAGCAAAGCCATACAAGGACAAATAACAAAGGTCAAAAATTAAAATTAAAGCAGTAAACACACTTTTTCCATTCAAGTATAGTTCTTATTTGTTTCTCATTTGTACAGTAAAAACCTAACATTGTTTATAAAAGAATAATTCTAATTCAGAACGGAGTATGGATTCCTAATATACATTCCAGTTTGATTGTGAAAAATTTGGGGCACCCCTGGCCATCTCAAGCAGAACAGTAATGCACATGTTGGGTATGGCCACACTGTGTTGAAAGTGAAATAGAAATAAAGTGGTTCTAAAGTTTTAAACATTTTTTTCACATTAATGCATTTCCTCTATTAAGATAAAAAGCATCCTACTAGTGGTTTTGGGTTCCCCATCCCTAAAAATGTACCCGAGTGTTCTATCAATCCAGAGCTGTCCTGACTGTAGGTTTTCTCTCTTCACCTGGTCTCACAAGACACTCTGAGAGCAGAGGAAGCCATAGACTGCTGCTGTCAGTCAAATCCTGTGATTTGGGGATGGGGGGGGGCGTGGCTGTGCTACGTTGCGTGTGTCTATAGATGCACACAGCCCAGCTCGGAGCACGCCTGCACAGGTTTCCACTCAGCACACAGAAGAGGAGGATCTGACAGCGCCGGTGGGGAAGAGGCGGTACGGGACCACTCTGTGCAATACCATTGCACAAAGCAGGTAAGTATAATGTGTTTTTAATGGTTTTAACTGCATTTACAACCACTTTAATTAGAATCTGAGCCTACTTGCTTTATACCGAGTGCTTGTACCCACAAGTCCTTGTACCCACAAAATATATGCTTTGATTACTGCACAACAAGCATCTCACAGACACATTTAAAGTGATTGTAAATGTTTACATTTTTAAAAAATTAAAATAACAAACATCTTATACTTACCTACTCTGCGCAATGGTTTTGCACAGAGCAGTCACAATCCTGGCTCCTCCTCTTCTCTGAGTGCCCCCATAGCAAGCCGCTTGCTATAGGTGCACTCCTGCGGGCTCGATCCTGAGCCATACTATGCATCTATTGACACACACCAGTGCAGCTTAGCCCTGCTCCCCCAGCTCTGCTCACAGGATTTGATTGACAGCAGTGGGAGCCAATGTCCTGTGAGAGAGAGGAGAGAAGCGCAGCACTGCTGCAGACAAGCACAGCTTTGAATCAAGATCAGGCTCAGGTAAGTATTACAGGGGGACTGGGGGGGAACTGACATGGAAAGGCTTTTTATGCTAATGCAGAGAGTGCAATATGGTAAAAAATAACCTTTTACCTTTACAACCAGCGCAATCATTTTTAAAAATTGAAAATCTTCCATTTCTGCGTTCAGAATTAAGAGCTAACACTTTGGGGTTGATTTACTAAAACTGGAGAGTGCAAAATCTGGTGCAGCTGTGTATGCAAGCCAATCAACTTCTAACTTTAGCTTGTTCAATTACGCTTTGACAAAAATAAAATCTTGAAGCTGATTGATTTCTATGCATTTTGCACTCTTCTCCAGATTTAGTAAATCCTCCCCGTTGTCTGAGCCTACCTTAAAGATGATCTTAATTAAAATATGGACAAATAACTATTGAGATGTTAAACACTTTGGTTAGGAATACTTTTAATTAAGTAGAAATCTTTCCCTTATCAAATGTCTCCCCCTTTTTAGCAAGCAAAAATCTCCCTCAAAGCAAATCTCCCCCTACTATCCACCTCTGTGCTCTTCTGTGTCAACTGTTCACCCCTGCAAACCTTGTACACCCATCATCTCTGTCTGCATACCTCATCTACTACTCATCTCTGCTTCTCCTGCATTCCTTGTCCACTGCTAACCTCTGCACCAGCTGCATGCCTCCTTCACCAGTCATCTCTGCATCCCCTGTATACCTCGTTCACTGCTGACCTCTGGACCCCATGGGTACCCTGTGCACTGCTTACCTCTGCACTAGCTACTGTATATGCCTGATCCACAGTTCATCTCTGCGCCCCTTGCAAACCTTGTCCAGCATTCACCCCTAAACCCTCTGTACCAGTTGCATATTTCATTCACTGCACACCTTGTTCACTACTCAAAAGTGCACCCCTTGCAAATCTTGTCCACCGTTCACCCAATGCCTCTCTGCACCAGCTGCATAGTTCATCACTGAAGATAATAACCAGGCATTTTTTTAGTCCACTGACAATACTTGTAACTATAAAAATTTAAATGAAAGAATTTGTGGAATGTAAACAAAAATCATGTCCATTGGAAAAAAACAGATTATGTGCATAAGTTGATTAGACCACTAATCAATAGTCCAGGCAAAGAAATTGTCAAGATTTTGCTTTTGCTCCTTACAAGACTGGGGGTGTCAAATGAATGCACACGAAGTGTAGTAGAGTTAAAGGCTTTAATGTTAAAATCAAATGCAAATTAGCCACTCACAAATTTAAAATGGAGCGTGTGCCTCTGTATTCACACTTGTAGTCTTGGATAGCAGTGCTGTCAAATGGAGGAATAGTTTCAGCTGGAGGACAGACCAAGGTGACCCCTGTAACATTCTGTGCCTTTGTACAGAGCTATGATGTCAAGCCTTTTGAGTCCACCATTCAACCCTGTACCCTATGCACCAGCTTCCCCTTTGTCCACTGCTCACCTTTATACCTCCTGCAAATATTGTCAACCAATCATCTCTGCATCCCCTGCACACCCTGTCCAGTACTCACCTCTGCACCCCCTGCATACCTTGCCCACCTTTCTCTTCTGCACCACCAACTGCATACTTAATCTACCACTTACCTCTGCACCCGCTAAATACCCTGTCCAACACATATCTTTGCACTTCCTTGCACACTTTGTCCACCAGAACCCTCTGCCCCTCTCTCACTGATCACCCTTGCACTCCACTCTTTGCATCTTGGTTTCCTTCAGCAACGCTCATACCAGATACTGTACCTGCCTGTACTCTGTCAGTCTGCTCCTAATTTGGACATGTAAAAATTGCAGGCAGTAACCCACGCCAAGTAGGTTTGTGACCCATATTTTAAGGAGTAAGTTTACCTTTATATTAAAATGTATTATGTAATAAAGGTCTCCAAATATTTAATAAAACATTGTTCAGTGGAAATGATATTCCTGTAGGCCATGGGTGGCTTCCTTAAAAAACCTGGCCAGAATATTTCAGTTGAAAGAGACGTATGCAGAATCTAGGACATGGAAACCTTTTTGGAGCGGCACTAATAGTTAAAATGTTCCACTATCATCTAAGGAACCATCTTACTCTACCTGTGCCATACAAGGGCGCATACGCAATGCACTTATCCTCCCCCTGTTGCAGTAGCTGCTTCTGAGATGAAGAAGCAAGAGTACACTACACGTAGAACAACATCATTGAAATGGGTGTGAATCGCATTATCCACACTGAATATTGCTGCACACGTCAACATACATGTTACTTATAAGAATCAGTAGTTGTTTTTCTCCCTGCATTCCAGCTGCCGCCATGGAAAATGTGGGCAGCTGAAGCTAGTCTGCATTCATTTCCACGTTGTCGTGCAGCTGGCAACCCAGCATGCACCCGGCTATCTCACGCCTGCGCAGTAACCACACTGTGAGGCACACTTTGGTGCAAGCTTTAGATTCCCAAGACCCCTGGGATCGATGGCATAAATATCCCTGGAGTCAACAGGGTAGGATGATGACGCAGTTGCCTCGGCAGCTGCGACCAACAGTCCAGGAGAAAGCTATTTTTTTAAAAAAGGAACATTGTGAAAACATTGCAGTTTAACTATTCAAAGATATCAGTGACTAAATGGTTAGCACTTCTGCCTGGCAGTACTAGGGTCGTTGGTTTGAATACCAACCATGGCAGCACCTGCCTGGAGTTTGCATGTTCTCCCTGTGCCAGTGTGGGTTTCCTCCGTGTACTCCGGTTTCCTCCGACACTCCAAAGACATGCTGGTAGGTTATTTGGATCCTGTCTAAATTTGCCCATGTATGTATGAATGTAAGTTGGGGACCTTCGATTGTACACCCCTGGAGGGATAGGGACTGATGTGAATGTACAATATATATGTAAAGTGCTGCGTAAATTGACAGAGCTATATAAGTACCTGAAATAAAAAAAAAAATATCAGCACTATGGGTGGGCATTGAAATAAGGCTAAGTGTAAAAAATGAATGAAACCCTGCTTTAAATACTGGGGCCTCTTCATTGCATAGTAAATTCTAATACAATGATGAACCTTAAGCAACATATTGCTTCAGTAGTTTTACTGGAGTATTATTCACCTAAATCTAGTACGGATATAGTCATTTAACAATTTTCTTATTTCTCTAAACAGGTTGACGACTGTGGCTTTTCACTGAACCATCCTAATCAATACTTTATAGAAAGTCAGAAGCTTCTTACTGGTGGTGGTCAGGAGATCAAGAAAGAGCAAGCATCTGTGGAAAGTTCTCAAGCAAACCCTCAAAGTCAGATGACGTCCAGTTCATCCAGTGCACTCATGAGCACACAGTCTGATGACGTGGAAGATCTAGAACAGTTTTTTAATGAATACTAAGCTACAAATGTGCTAATTCATTACTTTAGATCTTGCATTTGCTAGTACTTCTTGACATACAAAACCAGCATCGCAGTGGATTTATGTTAGTCAAAACAGCCAAACAGTTTCCAACAACCAATCCGTTCAGAAGTGACAAAAAACATAATTGATTGTCCTGAGTTTCAATGTATTCCACATAGCCCTTGCCTTGTCAAGTATGTTTGAGTGTTTTCACCATCATAAGGAGGAGGGTGGACTACATACAGAATGCTTGTATGAGCAAGCTGTTCATAATTTTAGTACTTTTTTTCTTTTTTGTTTTGTTTTTGTATGTTTTAATGCAGTAATAAAACATTGTTGAAAAGCATTCAAATAAAACTGAGTTATGCCATGAATAATAAATATTGGTTTGATATTTCTTATAGTGTTGTATGTTATTACATTGTTTTCTTTATAACTCTATGTAAAACCTAATGCCAAGCAATCCACTATAAGAACTTAAAAGTGGGGTTGTCTGCTTTAGGGAAATTAAAGTTTATGTCTGGGTAAAATAGCAAAAAAAAACCCTCAGGACATCTCTAAAATATATGAATTTCCCCATGTGTTGGTTGTTTAAAAACACTGCACATGCAAAAGAAAACATTTGTTCTGGACAAATCCAATATGCTCCCTATTTGGACCAATTACTCTGCCTCTGCTACACTGAAACTCAAGCAGTGTTGTCAGCCCTGCCTGATGTTTTATTACCTGTTTGATCCTGCCAGTAGATCCACTACTTTCCACTTCCTGTAACAGGCTAGGCTGTCTAGCAAAAGTAGAAGTTAGAGGGGTTGGAGAGGCCCTATTACAATGGCGGGGGTGCTTGCATTGGTCAGCTTTTATTCATGTTGTTTAAACCTGGTTTCTAAAGTGAAAAAAAAAGAAAAAAATGTTACAGTAACTGTTTAAAAAGTACAATCTGCAATTAGACATTAACGTGTGTGTTTCTCTACTTACCCAGTCGCGAATACATACCACCAAAAGAAATTTCTATTTTTGTGAAAAAAAAAAAAAAATATTTTATATGGGTGCAGTGTTGCATGACCGTGCAATTGTCACTCAAAGTGCGACCGCAATGAAAGATGAAAATTGGCCTGGGCAGGAGGGGGGTATAAGTGCCTGGAAGGCAAGTGGTTAAAATAACGCAGCGCCGTAATGCAAAAAATGGCCTGGTCAGGAAGAGGGGTAAATCCTCTGGAGGGCAAGTGGTTAAAGAGTAACTCCACTTTTAAGAAAAAAAATTCTCCCCTCTGGGCGATCTATGTACAATGAATGAATTTAACAAACTGTTGCAAATTCCTACCTTTTGTTATTCTGAAGAAATAGATGTTTGTCCATGTGCAGAGTGAATCTGTATGGGAATGGTTTTATGATTGTCAATTAGCTACAGCACCTGCTCCAATGAGGGTCAGCATTCCTTTAGACATGATTTCCCTTTGGGAGTATCTCACCAAAAATGACAGTTTTGTTGCAGGGGATGCCCTAAATGGGCAAATTAGTGAGCCAATCACACAAGTAGGAAATTACATATCTGCAGGCTGTTCTGTACTCCATCTGTGTACAGAAGACCTCCAGATAGCCATATTGCATTGCATTTTACAGAAATTTACAGCGCTGAAGATTTAAAAGGAAAGAATTTTTAATAACATTCAATTACAATACTTATTTTTTTGTTATAATTTTTTTTTTTATTTGCAATTTTTTTTGCCACAAAAGTGGAGTTACCTGTTAAAGTTCATTTAGAGCTACATGTCTAGCAAAGACTACCGTGTCCCACAAAGGAGAGCTGGGTAGGGGTGATAACACTGCTTAAAGTGTTACTAAACCCACAACAGTAAAACCAGTCTGTATATACAGTAAAGCATGCTTGTTATACTCACTGTGGAACCTAAGGGGTTAACTCTGTATTCTGTAAAAAGACTGTTTGATCGTATCTTCTCTGATCCTCGTCTTCTTCCAGTGTCCCCCTCTTATCTCCTGCTAAGATATATCTTGTGGAGTCACACTGCACATGCTCAGTTTGGCATGTATTGCTAGAGAGTTTTTTTTTTTTCTTGGGAGAGTGCATGTGGTCAGCACAGGGGCAATCAGCGTTGTCCAGACAGAGGTCAGGGGTTCTGCACCCTCCTAAAGTAAAATGAAAACTTCTCCTACAAGCTTCAACCAGTGCTGTGCTGGACACTGATAGAAGTCACAAGACTGCTCTAACTGCTGATGAGAAAAGGTATTTAGCAGTTTATATTTACTAAAATAATTGCATTTCCATGTTGTGTGTACTGTGGGAGACCAGATAAAGTGAATGCAGGGTCCTGGGTTTAGTAACACTTTACAACGTCAGACCAGCAGAAACAGAGCACATATAAAGAGCTTACTGGATTTCCTGCACAGTTAACAAGTATTGTTTGTACAAACAGGCAGTTGTTGGAAGTAGTGCTTTAGCGAAGCTATGGAGCCCAGTCAGGTCCAGGAGAGGTGTTTGTCCTGTCAATATTACCCTGGCTGTTCATATGCAGTAGTTTTGTGAAAGCCATGTGTACAGTTCACATTCATTTCCCTTGCTTAAACAGGACTACGTCCACCTCATATAAAACTTTACACTTTACCATGCAGTGTCACTTGTCTCAAATCCAAAGAAGTAATGATGGATGGAGTCAGGTAGGTATTTAGTCTGCTGTGCATAATGATTCTGTCAAATAATTAGAGTGAAATAAGCCTTAACACGTGTGTTAGTTGTTATGATTGTGGCTTCGCAGAGAATTATCTTTCATTGCCTGACTGACACCAATACAAGAAGGGGTGTTAGTGGAATTCCTACTGACTGTAATGCAGCCTGGCTCACACTGATGCCAGTGCAAGAGGGGGCTTTCATCTGGAGACCCCCAAACTACCAATGCATAAGGGGCATTTTTCAGCCCACATATAACAATCTCCTTCACCACTTTACATCTGTTCTATAGCAGTTTTATTGCTACAGGGCATCTTTCCTGTGCAAAATCATGTAGATATACATGATTTTGCATCTCTGCCTCACGGGGGTGCGTGTGCGCCACAGGCAGATCGCTTCTACTTCACAGCAGAAGCCAATCTGTGAGTCTTGGCAAGCGGATCTTCACCAGCACCCACAGATCGTCGAGCAGGGAGGAAGAACAGAGCTCTGCCTAACAGGAGGGAGTTATCAATCATGTGTCCCTGCAGGGCTGGGAACACGATTCATCACTTCCTCTTGTACAAGCACCACCTTTGTACACAAGCACGTAGGTAGGCAAACACTTAACCCTTTGATCACCCTAGATGCTAACCCCTTCCCAACCAGTGTTATTAGTACAGTAATGAGTGTATATTTTTAGCACTGATCACTGTATTAGTGTCACTGTTTCCCACATAGTGTCAGTATAAAAATGTCCACCGCAATATCGCAGTCCCGCTATAAGTCTCTGATCGCGTCCATTACTAGTTTGTAGATGCTATAACTTTTGTGTAAACTAATCAATATACATTTTGGCCTACATTTATGAAGAAATTTGATTTTTGAAATATTTTAATGGATATATTTTATAGTAGAAAATAAAAATTATTTTTCAAAATTGCCCGTATTTTTTTGTTAAAGCAAAGTAAAAACCGCAGAGGTGATCAAACACCACCAAAAGAAAGCTCTATTTGTGGAGGAAAAGGACATACATTTCATGTGGGTGCAGTGTTGCATGACCGTGCAATTATCAGTTAAAGCAACACAGCGCCATATCGCAAAAAATGGCCTGGACTGGAAGGGGGGTAAATCTTCTGGAGCTGAAGTGCTTAAAGAGGTGCTTTGGTCAGTACATTAAGCCCTGCTAATTCACTTCATTCTGGCCCCTTCTGCAAGTATAGATATGTAAAACATTAAAAAATAAGTGCCTATACTGTTTAAAATTTAGTAATACACTGTTTCTCCCTGCTCTGCACATGCTTATTTGCTTCTCTATTTTTGGCACTGTGTCAAAATCAGCCACTAGAGGCGAATCTGCTGATAGTCTAAATATTTACTGCTGCTCAGGTGCTTTTGGCATCAGCAAAATGGCAGCCTCTAGCAAGAAGAAACAGAAGAAGTAGCAAAGTTGGAGGCAATTTACAGCACTAATTGTGGTAGCATAATATGTATGTTTCCTGCTAAAGAACATTGTTTTATCAGGTCGTTATGGGTAAAGTTCTGCTTCAGGTATTGGCAGTTTTCTTCCTGCAGGCACCTTTTGTATGTATGTCTATATAACACATTTTACACAACCTGTATTAGAAATCCAGTAGTTCACGCTCTCATCCTGTTTTGAACAGACCCCAATGATTTCTATTGTTGGCACATTTTCCGAGAATCTGAGCAGTGACGCAGTCACCAGAGGCTGATCTGCTGACAGCATAACATATGCTGTTGCTGATGGAGGGAGGAAACCACAGGAATAAGCCAGCCTGTGCTGAGGTAGAATACATAAGGGGGAGAGAAGAGGAAAGCAGGAGAGATGACAGGACAAACTCTGCTGGAGAGACACAAAAAACAGTTAAACTTAGGCAAGCCATATGTGATTTGATTTTTTTTTTTTCCTTCCATTGCTACTGGAAGGAAAGAAAATCGCTTGATTCTACCATCAACACTCCACTCCCCCTTCACAGTGCTCTTGTGTTCTGAAAGCTGGGAGCTTTCCCCAGCAGACCACAATGATTACTGCTAGCGGTTATAGCTGCCGGCAGTAACTGCATGTAAAAATATTCAGGGTGTAACATGCTATGATTAGACTGGCCCCCCTGCTCCCTGCTTTGACAGCTAGAAGGAGATCCCCCTCCCTAGCTGTCAAATGTAAAAAAAAAAAAACTTGGCTGCGTGGGGCTCCACCTGCCTTAGCGGCTGTCGGCTTGTAGTCCTCAATGAACTACCATGGCACTGCGGAGCACTGTGGTAGTTCATTCATTCTTCCTGTCAGGATATCTGCTTGCTTGTACATCCTGTACAG